TAATCCCAGGGCTGGCCTCAGGCTTCTTTTGGATAAGGGCTAGTAGTTGTGTTAAGGGAACATAACATACTACTTGTGCAATTAGTGTCCTCTTTTCAATGTATAGACTCCTTTGTCTCAGTTTGGAAAAAGTGGAGTGCAAAACTATGTATTTTGTATTTAATTATATATTTGTACTGTACATATTTGTATTTGTACTCCTTCCAAACTGAGCCTTTGTTTTTATACCACTCACGACCTACTGAGTACTGATGATCACGGTTTTTAAAACCAAACTGGATTAGACGTTTTTCCCAAAACCAGATTTTTATAAAAGAAACCATTGATTTAGTCAACAAATCATTAATCCAGACAGTTAAACCGTTCATGACTGTTTTTATTTTTTTAGTTTTTTGTTGGAACGGTCCAATCGAACGATCAGAATGTTTGACCCCTAACCAATTTGGTCTTTGGGTCAGTTTTAAAAACCTTGCTGATGACCTTCTCCATTTTCCACACCCTTCTTTCTTTGAAGAAGCATCGACGGAGGGGGTATTACTATTTCTTTTTCTGATCAAACCAGAAGGTGTTCCTTGAAGTCCTCTCCTCGATCCATAATTGGAAGGGGAGGTTCTTTTTTATGAAATGTTAGGATGGATGGCTCTTTGGGTCCAAGCTTTCCATCTCGAGAATGTGAGTGAAGAGGCTTAAACCCTAGCTTTTCCCTTTTCCAATTCTATGTGCGGACCAATTCTCTGAATATTATTGAATAAAATAATAATTTCAGTACCGATTAGGGTACATCTTAATTTTGATAAATGGAAAGGATTTCTTTTCTTTTTTTCATATATCGATGCAATTTGGGTTGAAATGGACTGACTTATCTGTAAAATTTTCAATAGCCTTGAACCCAAATTCAACCCTAATGTAGGTGAAAATTTTCAAGTAGGGTTAACGGACTTGCACCCTTACTTTTTCCATTTTTTTTTTGTTTTGTTTTTACTTTTAAGTGATAAGTCCCAATCTTAAACATGACTTTTCTTGTTTATACACCAGTGATGTGCCTCCAATGTCAAATTTGGATGATCTAATTTTAATCCGAAAACAATATTAAAACACCATTAACATATCTTAATAGAAGATTATAGTGGCTGGTATAAATTATTATTTTGCATTGCAAATTCAAATTCTCTAATAATGGTGACCAATATATACTGGTTTCTTGGTTTATAAGTCAGGAATCTCACAATTCCTTTTTGGTTTGACCTATTTGAAACCACTAGTTTTCTGTCTCATCTTAACAGAATTTGTTATAGGGTTGACATCAAGGAAAAATTTTATTGCTCAACTCATCCTTGATGGCGACCAATATTAAAACAATTACAATTCCTTGATGGCTTGATAGCGATCAAGATAGAACACCCTATTTTTGACTTAAAGCCATGTTCCATCAAGCATAGTATTTTTTTGGTATTTCATCAAGCATTCAAACACGAGTAGAGCAACAGAATTTGTTATATAGAAACCAATGGTTTTCTGGGTTGTATACAGTTTTTTTTTTCCTGGGTTGTATACAGTTGACGTGGCCAATAAATCATTCCTTGATGGAGACCCAGTAGATTGGACAAATTTGAAGTCCATGTCAGACGAATACTAATAACAATCTGAAGTAGGAACATTTTTGCTAAAATAAACAAAGCTGGTTATCAATTCAATCCTAATTTAACCCGAAACAAGTAGGTTGTGTTTGGATGAGGATTGCAAGTTCAACAACTTTGGTTTGGGTTAGGGATGATTTAAACCCTGCCTCACTAGCATCACTGTCTTGTACGCATTTGATTTTCCATGGACCATGGTGAATTAATTGTATTACGTAGACTGAACTCTAAATTTCCTAAAACTTTCACCGTCGTCTTAGTTTTTTGAATTTTATTTATCAACACTTCCACTTATAATTCACTATCACCCTTAAATTTTGATTCATTCCTTCATTTGTCAGTGTTTTAATGGGGGTTAAGGGAAAAGGGATGGGCTACCCCTGTTGTGTTGTCGCATGAAGGGAAAAATAAAATTGTATTACAGTTTATGGTGTGGATTGAACAATGAAATACTCAAAGTTTTAAGAAAAAGTATGGATGGGCTCAATGCAGATTATAGAATAGGGTTGTTCATAGGGCAGGTTACATCAGTTTATTAGTTTTTTTAACAGATCCGATCTGGTAAGATTACCTAAAAATTAAATCGAAACTGACGGATCGGTTTGGGTCAGTTTTGGTTTAAATATATACATTTCCGAAATATATATTTCAGCTTTAAATATATATATATATATATTGGAATTATACATATTATATATAATATTTCAGTGAGAATATATTTATAGATAACTCTGTTCGGTTTGGTTCGGTTTAATTTCAATTTTCATGTATTAAAACTGAAGCCGAACTGAATTATCAATTTACCCATCTTTTCAACCCAAAACCAATTGACAGTGAAAAAAATTGGCCAAATCAAATTGGATCGGGTCGAGCCAAGTTGGTCAGTTTGAATTTATTTATGAACAGTCCCATTACAGAATATGAAAATGGAGCCACTGAATTGTTTCCTTAATTTTTACATAGTCAACTTAAACATCGCATTTAATCCTTTTTTTTCTTACGTTTAATCCCATCAATATGGTTTTCTTAACACTAAGATATAGAGAACGGTCATACCTAAACGATAAAAATCTTAAACAAAGAAATAGAACTTTGCAAGTGGCATACTTGCATCTAGGGAAGGTCTACTTGTAGATTGCAAGTTCCCTCAAAATACAAAAATAAAAAAGAAATATCAAAAATAAAATATTTGCAAGATGCAATTTGTTCAAACATTTCTGGTCAGAAAATTTCTGGGCCAAGCCTGATTTCAAATCTCTAGGCCCAACATGGAGAGAGAGAAGTGGGTAAAAGTAAAATAAAGAAAGGACCAGTGTGTTTAAATTAGGGAATCCGAACTGGAGTTGTACCGTATCATCTACGCTTTTTATTTTTCCGGGTAAATTAATTGTATTTAAGGGGCGTTCTTTTTTAGATTTTGAGAGGAGAGAAAGTTTGTCGATGAGATTTTGGTTTCCATTGACCAAGAATCTTATGCTCTTCTTTTATATTAATGTGGGGACCATAGAAAGTTTATTTTCTTGATCATCTCCTAAATAATTGCCCTTTTAATAATAGATTTTATTAATTAAAATAATCATTTTCTTTTTTTTTTAGAAAATAAAAGAATATGAATAAATATATTTACCTGGGTAAAAGTTTTCTAAAAAAAAATTACCTAAATAATTGCATTTACTTAGATAAACAACTTATAGAAAAGTGAACAGACTTTAGTGAAAACTTTCATTAAAAGCACATAAGGGCCTGAAACAGAAAAGGAAAATGGAGCTGCTTGTTATTTCGTGAGTTGTTACCAGTCGAATTCACATATGTGCCCAAAGGGGGCTCTGCCCCACAATGCTCCACAGCATATCTGGAGATGATGAGACATCATCGAGAGATGTTCCTAATACAAGGTAGGGGAAGCTCTGTGGGGCATTATGGGGCTTTTCCTTTGTAGGGCGCAGATATAAACTCTTACAAGTCAACTTATAATTATGGAGCTTCCCCTTGTGGCGGGGCAGATGGGCTGTGGGGCATTATGTGTACTATTTTTCGTTAAGAATGGAAAATTTTAAAATAAATAAGGTGAATTAACTGTAACTCAAAGCTTTAAGGAAAAGTAAGGACGGCTCAATACAGATTATGGTTTTTAAAAATGAATTGGTGACTGAATCGGTTATCGGTTTGAATGAACGGATTGGCTATTTGACCGTTTGACCCGAATGGCCGGCCCATTTTAACAAATAAATAAATAATTTAAAAAAATTAAAAAATTGGAAAACAGTCAAAACCGTTTGAATGGTTCGAACAGTTAACCAGCTAGTTCAACGGTTTATTAACCAAAATCAATGATTTTGAAAAAAACACGATTTTAGAGAAAACAAAACCAATTCTTGATTTTTCCAATCCAACCATCTGGTCCAATCCGGTTTTGAAAACAGTGATACAGATTAAAACGGACATGAAACTTTGTTTCTGATTTATTACCATGTCAACTTGTAATTGATGTTATATTTAATATGAAAAAAGTCAACTTATAATTGATGTTATTTCAGACGACGAAGCATCAAATCACGTTTTTCTTGATGGATCTAAAAACAAAAATAAAGTAATTTGCAAGTTGCATCTGAACAAGGTCTACTTGGTAGTTTGCATCCATCAAAAATTGAAAAATTTGCAAGTTGCAACCTTAAAAGACTTTAAGGCTTAGGTGATGGTTTTACCAAAAAATACACTGCAATTTTATATAATTCAAAATGATAAATACCACAACTAACCCAACTGTATTGTGGGGCTAATAACTCCACTGCAAGTTGCAATTTATTCAACAAATTTTTTAGCCAACCCTGCGTCTAACGCTTTAGGCCCAGCTCAGCCTGACATACGTAGGTATCAAGTAATTTGAAATATTATCTATAATCTATGTTCTATTTTTAATTCTAAATCAGCTTGCTTCAAAAAAAAAAAAAAAAATCTAAATCAGCTTTAACTTCCGCGCATGACACAACCATTCACAAGGAGGAGGAGGTGCCCTCTGTCTTTCAAGAGTTTGAGACCTTTGCTATTCCAAACTTCTAAAGGATAAACCACAAGTTGGGTATTCAAGCTGTGGGGATTTCATGCTCTATGGCATTCTAAACATTTTTTTTGGTTTTCTATGGGCAAAGGCACCACTGTTTTCAAGATGACCCATCACTTGATCAGGTACAAGCATTTTCGTGGCCGTTTCCAACCTATTGAGTTCTTAGATACATCATTTTGAAACTGTTGTGGTTATTTTTTTTAATCCACGGACTATTTTCTTCTCCATTTGGCTACATTTTGGAGTTGAAGGAATCGTAAGTAGGAAAGAGGTTTTTAGCTACATTTTGGAGTTGAGAGGGAAGGAGATATAGCGTTTCTGATCTGATACAGCAGGTAAGCAAACTTGACCATTTTTCTTTTTTATAGAAAATAGTAAATACTTAGGAGGTGTTTAACAACGCGTGGTTGATTTTATTTTTAAAAGAAAACAAAAATATTTATTACATAAACAAAATTATTTTGTTTTTTTGCTGATGAACAATTATTTTTGTTTTCAAAAACAAAACCATCTTGTAGAACACCCCCTTAATCTGATATTTTGGATGTGCAACCTGATATCAAAACCAATTGTATTTATTTCTAGAAGACTGTTGTTTCAATAGTCTAGGAGCTTAGTTATAATCCTAGTTTAGTCATAAACAATCTAAAAAATTATACTATCATGCTTTTAATTTGGTGGGGATGTTCTAAAGGTGTCCATATTTTACAGAAGTGATTTAATGAAGTAGAGGAAATTAGAGAAGAATATAATACGGCCAGTTTTGACAACGGGGTGGAAGACAAACTAAACGAGTCTATTAGTTCTAGGGGTGCCCATTTGTGAACCTAATGGCACCTAGTGGCACCTAATTGTCATAAACGGTTGCAATTATTGCATTTCTTGGTTTTACCATCAAATAAAGTACAAAAGTTTATTCAATAAACATAAACAGAATCAAACACATACTTAGCTTACTATTAACTCTCTCTATCTCTATCTCTCTCCCCTCTTTTTCATTAACTCTCTTAATTATCTTTCCTCATTAATTATGCTATTAACTCTTTATCCTCCAATAATCCATGCAACTAATTCTCTCTCCTCTTAATTACTCCATTGAATTACCTAAAATTTATTACCTCTATCTTTATCTAAATCTTTTTCTACTTGATTATATTTTTATATATGTTAGATATATTTACACTAAATTTTATTAAAAAGTTAAATTGTATCAAATTACAATTTATAATATAATTAACTTAGTTATATTAAATTAATATAACAATTATTTATTTCATCATAAAGATTAAATTTTATTAATTATAATTTATAACCCGTTTAATATTCAATGGAATCTTATTAGTCTAAATAATCTACTTTCGTTTAAAAGTTAGTTAATTTTAGAGTCTATGGTTCACAAAGGTAGGTCAAATGTTTTGACCAAGTCAATGATTTTTGACAGAATAGTGGGCTTTAGGAATCCTTGAACTAGAAATAAGGCCAAATGGTGGTTTGAATGCTTCAGGTCAATGGTAGGTTGAAAACATTAAATAAAACATCATAAAAATTTAATCTATTTATATTTTATTTTGAAATATTAAAAATTATTAACCATAGTGATAATAATTTCATAAATTACTTTACTAAAATAAAAATAATTATTAATTGTTATTATTGATAATATTTGTTATTAATATAATAAAAATAAATTAACTAATAAAATTAATAAAATAAATTAAAAAATAGATCCATCTTATTAGTTTTATAATTAATTTTTATAAATTATTTAACAATTCTATACGCTTCCCCTATGTTTTGACCTTAACAACCCCCTATTGTTTTGAAAAAAAATGGTGCAAATACCTTCCTTCTATTCGTGTTCCAAATAGAGAATGCTGAAGTAATGCATTATTTTTTTTAAATATCAAATTTACCCTTAACCAACTTAATTCATATGCAACTTACTAAAACACTTTGTTGGGAATTAAAAGATTTGCTTCCTTTTACTTCACTTTTGCGTTTTTTATCTTACTTTGTCCAAGAATTAGAGAGAATTAATCTTTGAAAATTGTTAAACAAAATAAATTAGTAAACGATAAAATTGAAAAGTTTAAATTATGTATAATAATGCCTCAACAATGATAAAACTATTTTGGTAACTTCAGCATCTTTGTTATTGAAAGGCTAACAAAAAGAAGGAATTTGTTAGGGTGACGACACAAGGGAGGTTTATAGCATAGTTATAAGACTAGGTTTTTTATAATTTTACCTAAAAATAATGCAAAATAATAATAAACCAATAAAATTTAAAATTTAATAAAAACAATGCTTGAATTGTTAGAAACGTGAGGATGGGAAATTGACCATCCTCACTAAAGTGCAATTTGGATTATGATTGGATAAACTAGACATAATCCAAAAAACAATGGTTGAATTGGACTTGGGAAGCGCTCTACTTAGTTAGAAACGTCATAGAACTCCTTTCTTAATTTTACTTAACAAAGCCCATGCATTGTAGAGTCCCGACTAGTATATACTAAAACAAAGCATGACATGTTAGCATGATTGTCCTTTCTACCCCTTCTCTATTTTGTGATTTTTTTTCTCTTATGAATTCTTTTATTTTTAAAATTGAATAAAATAACTTAAGTACTAAATCCTCTTTAAGGCTTTCATCTCTCCTCATTAACTCACATCAACTCTCCCTTCTCTTTTCCATCAACTTCTTTAATTATCTCTCTTCATTAATCATGCCTTTGATTCTCTCTCCTCCAATAACTCACTCTACTAATTCTCTCTCCTCTCAATTATTCCATTAATTTGCCTAAAATTCATTTGACTCTTTCTTCTTTTTTTTTTTTTGAAAAATGAATAATAAACCGAATGCGTTTGCTTAGGGGTGATCATTTCAGCCTAGGTTGGGCTTGAGCTCACAACAAGCCCACAAATTTCAGGGGTGGACCTAGACCTAATACTTTAGGTCAGGTGCCAGCCCAACCCAGCTTGCAAACAAATAAAATTATAAATTTTAGTTGTTAAACATATTATAAATAGTTTAATCACCTAAACAAAATGTTTGGGTTGGATACAAGGGCTCTTTTTGCTTCAATCTTAACAAAGCCCATGCATTACATACGCCCCAAATAGAAATCTACACACACATACATATATACGTACATATGTATGTAGTTATGTATATCAAAGCCCTCAAACTAAAAAGTGGCTAGAAAAAGTATCTCAAAAGTTACTACTCCCACTCTCAAGCAAAAACTTCCTTCCTAAGACATGTTTATCCATTCAAACAAAAGTATAAGCTTCAAACAATAATTACCTCTACTCTCAAAAAGGTTAGTGGTAATTATCTCCATTAAAAAAAGTAAATTCATTTGAAATAAGGTAAGATCCATAAAGTGGGTTATTATTTAGAAATAAAACTTGATTCAATTGCTTAATTTAAATAACAAATTTGTACATCAAATAAATCAAAAAAAAAATAACACAAATTTACACCATAAAAATTGTGCACCAAACAAAAATTATCAGAATACTTGAATAAAAAAAATCAGAATACTGGTCCTATACTTAGTACGAAGGGTCATTCTCTAGTACACATAGTAAAACAAGGGAGGGTGTATCCATTTTATTGTTTCATATTTAAATTCCATTTAATTGGTTAGTTGCCATGAAATTATAATTTAAAATCCTATAATTAAAATTAAGAAAGTTAATAAAAAGTATCAAACTTTAGAAAGCTTTTATCTAATAATTATTAAAAGTTAAGAAATTAATAAAAATTAGTAGTTCATAAATTAAAAATAAAAATACATTTGATTTCCATTTAAAAATATATAATATTAATAGAATATTAAAATTAATAATAAAAAGTAAAATCATTAAAAAATAAAAACAAACCATTTACATTGCATATAAAAATAATAAACGCTCATCTAGAAATGTCATAAGGCTCGTTCCCCTTCAAGATGATCACTTATGACTTATACCAACCCAATCAAACTTGCAAATAGGCTAAGGCAAATCATGTGTGTTCCATATAAAAATAATAATGAATTAATTGAAAATGTTACATGGCTTCTTTTCCTAGAGTGATCATTTATGACTTAGACCAATCCAAACAAATTTGAAATTTTATGGGCTTAAGCAAACTATTTTCTTTTAGGCTTGGCCCAGCTTGGGTCCACTCCAAGTCCATGCATAATATGGGTTAGGCGCAAGCTAAGCAAACCCTACGCTTGACCCAAAAATTATATAAACATATTGTAAATATATATTTAGATAATAAATTTTATATAGATATATGGTATAATATATTAATAAATTTTTATATGAAAAAATTACCGATCAGTATTCTGTACTTTGGCTCGAGAGACAATTTGGTTCCCGAACTTTAAAATACGATAATTCAGTACCCAAACTTTCAAAATGTGACAATCTAGTACCCAAACTTTCAAAATCTAACAATCCAATACCTTTTGTTAACCAGTCCATTAATCAGCCATTAAGTGACATTTGAAAAGTCAAAATTGCCCTAAGAATGGCATCTAATTCTCTTTATCAATTATCCAAACATTGACGATAAAATGAACAGTCCCAAATTCTAGATTCTTCTAAATAGTCACCAACTTTTTGAATAGAAGAGGCTAGGATTTGGGATTTGATCAGTTTTTTGTCAATGTTTGAATGGTTGATAAAGAGAATTAGATGGCATTCGAAGGGCATTTTTGACTTTTCAAGTGTCACTTAATGGTTGATTAACGGACTAGTTAACAACAAGTACTAAATTGTCACATTTTGAAAGTTCGAGTATTGGATTGCCACATTTTGAAAGTTCAGGTACTGGATTGTCGCATTTTTAAGTTTGGGGACAAATTGTCACTCAAGCCAAAGTACGAGGTACTGATCGGGAATTTTCCTATATATATATATATAGAGAGAGAGAGAGAGAGAGAGATTAATTGACTAGAATTAAATAGACTTTAATTCACAAAAAAAATCATAGTTTTGTAATTAACATGGGCAAGCATGTCCCTATCCTAGGCGTAGACAAATATTATCGAGCATGGGGTGTTGGTTGGGCCAGGTATGATCAACCTTAAAAACTATTAATGCGCTATCAAAATCCAACCTAGGATCATCTATTTCTTTGGTTCATTACACAAAGGGTAGCCCATTCCCTAATTCCCATAACCCCAAAACCTTGGTGGTTGTGGGATACTAGGATTCGATCCTAATTCAAATCTAGAAATAACCAATTGTCGTACCAATTGAGCCACTCACCAGTTGGGTGGCTTAGGATTAACTTACTTCTATGTTCATCTATACATGTACTTTAATTTTACGATGTCTTTATGCTTCATTTCGCTTAAAAACATCTGTTCATCACATGGATCCGAACTAGTATCAACTATGGTAAATTAGAACAACACTTATAATGTTAGTAATTACATAGTATATAAAGATTTTTAACATTTCCTTCATATAATAATATTAGTAATGAAAAATAAGTTAACCATTATTACCTAATTACAAATAAAATTAATTTTAACAATAACACATTGTTAACTAATGGAATTGTATTATAATTAATTACTTTGGTTAATTTAAATTCCCTTTATTTACTGAAAATAAATTCCACTTAAAAATTATAGAGTTAATATATTATAGTAATTATTTATGATTAACTAGTAAAATCCTAAAGCATTAAAGTTAATTTTTATTTATTTTAAATTCCAATTAAAATGATTACTTTAATAATATTTTAGAAAAATTAGAAATTGAAATTAATTACAAAAAACACAAATTAATTTTAAAATTACTTTAAAGTTAACTAATAAATTAATTTTAAAATTAAATAATTCCAAATGTAACTAAATACTAAAAATAAATTAAACAAATGAAGAATTTTAAAATTTTCAAATTCAAATATCATTCCTTTTTAAGATTTTTATATTAAAAATGATAAAATCTTAAAATCAATTATAAGAAGAAAATTATATTATGAATTGATCAAACTAAAAGTGTATTCAATTAAATGGAATTTAAAAAAAAAGTACATAAATTCTCATTTTTAGAATTAATAAATGAATTTTAATTCATTTTAAATAACTCAATTTATAAAATTAAATAATTAATTAATAAAGCAACTGAAATTAGTTAATTGATTATAAATAGATTGCAATTTATACTAAATTAACAAATAAAATAATTTTACATTATTAAAGCTTAAAAATAACTAATAAAAGCTAATTAAATTTTAGATTTTAAAATTTGTAAACTACAAAATTAAATGATAAAATCTTTCAAAATTATTTAATACTAGTTTGAGGGCACGTGCTATGCAAATGTCCAAGTAAGGTAAAGATATAAGTTAGTCATATTTTCTGAAATTTAACTTTTATGACCAACACCAAAACTAATGCAAGTATCCACTTTAAAATAGTATAAATGATTAAATATTATAATTAATCATTGTATTAAAACAATTTCATTAATTTAAATTTCCAAAATTATTGGAATTTTAAATTAATAAAAATACAATTGGGAATGTCATACAACTCTTTCTACTTAAATTTTGGAAACCTATACATGGCACGGGTCCTCACTAGTATATAATTAATACTATTTAAAGATAGGCCCAGACTATCATCACCCCTAGTTGGACCGTAGCTCACTTGGTCCAAAGTTATCGGAAAAATAGAAAAGGGAATAGTATATTGTTTTAGGGGTTGCAACTTGCAAGGGAGCGTGGCCAGTGTATTTTAGGGTTGGGTTTCATAGATCAATTGACCTTGCCAATTCATAAAAAAGGGTTAGTCATACACTACCACCCTGTTGTTTGAGGGTAATATCACTTAGACCCTGAACTTTCACTTGTGACAACCGATTCTAGCACTTTGTCCCCTCCCTTTAATGGGCTTGACAGTAGAGACAAAATTACAAAAACATCCATATAAAATTTGTGTATTCTTTTGTATTTACTCTTTTTTCTGTTTATAGTTTAATTTTTATATTTTTGTTGTATTTGTTCAATTTTATATTTACTTCTTTTTTCAGTTTTTAGTGTTTGCTGTAATTTTCCTATCTTTTATGTTACCTAGTATATACATTCAAATGTTAAATTGAAGAGAAATGATCAAATCAGTTAAATGACTCAATGGTCGATAGGACAATGGTCTTTGTAACCACAAATGCTTGGGTTTAAATCTTTATAACATCATATTAAAGTATTTTAGATTTTATTTCAAGAAAAAATTGATTTCGAGCTAGGCCAGTTCCACAAGGTTAGTTCTCTGAATTGGTTCATGTAAGGTAAACCCCTAGACCCTGAAACTGGTCTAGGTGAGTGGGAGGGCTTAATTCCAAACTTTTGGAAATAGACCCTACCCAATAACAGATTGGATAGGATCAGTTCAAGACCAGTTAGAGGTCAATTCCACCCACTTTTGGCTAAAACCTATCCATTTACTCCAAATATTTTCTGTAATTTCCTATTTTTCTTCATTTTTATCCATTTTGTGCGTAAATAGTATCATAAAATGATAGAAGGGCATTTTGAACTTTTAAAAAGTGTTTAAATTAACAGACACGACAACCACAAGAAAATCCTATTTGAAGCTCATTAACAGATTAATGGTTTTGATAGTGAGCCTAAAAGTGCTGGAATCAAAAAGTTCAGTTCGGGGGATCATGTGTAACTACTCCGACAATATATGATTTACAACTACAACCCTTAGAAAAGGAAAAGAAAAAAACACTCTGACCTTACCTTTCACCATGCAGTATTAGAGGAATTATTAGTTAGTCCAAAGCACCATTATGAACCCAAGCTGTTAACAATTGAGCGGCAATTTGATCAAATCTTCTGCGAAACAGCTGGGTTCACGATGCTCCAACTCCAAGGGATCAGCTTTCCATTTGTAATGAGACACTATTCTGATCCTCTGATTGGATAACAAAGAAGAATCAGTGAATTACCTTAGACTATGGCCCAATTAATTAACTATCACTAAATGAAAATTGGCATAAATAAAGAACTTTTTTTGTTTAAAAATAAGGAATGCTTCTGCTTAATTATAAACCAGTTGCTATATGAAATGGTTCGCAGTAATGGGATGATATCCTTCTTTTTCTTTTTTTTTTTCTTTTTACAGATGGCTGATAACTTCTAGTAGATTCTCGACGCAGTCTGACTTGGAAGCATTGTTCTTTTCGCCACTAATTACGAAAGAAAAGAATTCATTAATACAGGGGCACATAATCATTAATCCCACATCATATGAATGTCTCACATTTCTCGCGTGATTCAAAGTTGAGTTGCCTAAACTTATTGGTCTGTGATATCCACGCCCATGCATGGCTGCTTATCTTTGTGCTTAGTCCAACCTTATTGAAGTAAAAGATTGGAACAAAGTGGTTTCTCACAATACAAAATATTCACAATCTTGCAAAATCTTCTCTTGCTCACGGAAGAAAGAAGAATAGAATGGCCGACCCACTTACCAGCATGGTTGCTCAAGAAATCCTGAGCAGGGTGATCGTCCTTGCAATCCAAGGGATTAATCTCAGGAAGGATTCAAGGGAACAACTTAATAATCTGAAAAAGAAATTAGAAATGATTCAAGGCGTGCTACAAGACGCCCAGAATCGACAAACAATGGAGCAAAGAGTCGGAAATTGGTTGAAGAAGGTTCAGGATCTAGCTTATGATGCCGAGGACGTGCTGGACGAGTTCACAATACTAATTCAGCAACACAAAACGACGACGACCAGGACAGACAAGGTACGCAGCTTCGTTAAGACGATCGTTACGGTTTCACCTCTCTTTAAGATTGCCGACAGAATTAAGAGCATAAATGAATCTTTTGACAATCTTGGAAAGGAAGCGACTATCATGCGGCTTGTGCCTACAGACAATGAGACTGTTGAAAGTCGAACCACCCATTCCATGGTAGACGAATCAGAAGTCTTTGGAAGAGATGGTGACAAAATGAGAATCCTAAGCCTTTTAATTAACCCAGATGATGGAAATAAAGCTATTTCGATCCTCCCCATCGTAGGTATGGCTGGACTCGGGAAGACCACCCTCGCTCAAGTAGCATTCAACAATGGCGCGGTAGTAGCACATTTTGATGAACGTATGTGGGTTTGTATCTCGGTAGATTTCAACATTGAAAGAATTTTAAAACAAATCCTAGAAAGCCTTGGAGAAATGAATGTCATATCAAATCTGGATGTGATGCTCCGTAGCCTTCAAAGTAAGTTGATGGGAAAGAAATTCTTGCTAGTACTGGATGATGTCTGGGATGAAAATCGGAGCAATTGGAATACGTTAAGAGGTTTCCTGTTGAAAACCCAAGCAGCAAGAGGGAGCAAAATTATTGTGACTACGCGCAAAGATGAGGTTGCGAAAATCATGGGCACACTTCCGACGCATCACTTGGGACTATTGTCAAAAGAAGAGTGCTGGTTAATTTTCAGAAAAAGAGCATTTGCTGAAGGATCAGCGGCACAAGAGACTCCAAGACTGATTGAAATAGGAAAAAAGATGGTAGACAAATGCAGAGGCCTACCTTTAGCAGCAAAGGCTCTTGGAAGTCTGATGTACTACAAGCAAGAGGAAGAGTGGGTGTCTGTCCAAACAAGTGAAATTTGGGATTTATCAGAGGCTGAATCAGGTGGAATCTTACCAGAATTGAGGTTGAGCTATGACCATTTGCCATCCAACATAAAGCAATGCTTTAAGTACTGTTCTGTGTTTCCCAAGGATTACGAGATCGATAGAATGATGCTTATTCAGCAGTGGATAGCACACGGATTCATAGACTTTCAAGGGTCATCCAGTCAAGCTGCAGCTAACAAAGAAATGGAGGATATCGCTAATGACTCGTTCAATTACTTACTGTGGAATTCTTTCTTTCAGGACGTAAAGAAAAATGAGTATGGAGACATCGAAACAGTGAAGATGCACGATCTTGTGCATGATCTTGCACAACATGTTTCCAAGGCTGAGTGTTTGTCATTTGTCGAAGACGATAAGGTTAATGACATTACTATTACTACTGATGTTCGGCACTTATCTGTGTATGCTCCAAAATTACCGAAGTTACTGAATGTCTCAGTATCGTATGAGGCGAACAAGCTCCGGACTTGCCTTTTGTGGCTTAATTTTGATGATCTTATGAATGTTTCCGACTTACTTGAAGGTTTTTCTGTTGACAGGCTTTCGAAATTTAAGTGCCTGCGTGTATTAGATTTGGTGGGTATCACTCACTTGCCAGCATCATTCCAAAAGTTCAAATTACTAAGATACCTTGACCTGTCAGAAAATCAATGTGAAAAATTACCGGAGTCAATCACCACTCTCTACAATCTACAGACGCTAAGGCTCAAGAATTGCAGGAAGCTTAAAGTGCTTCCCATAGAGATGCGGAAGCTCATTAACTTGAGGCATCTTAATCTATTCGGATGTATTAGCTTGGAAAAGATGCCAATGGAGCTGGGGAAATTACTTTGCCTCCAGACATTACCCATGTTTATAGTGGGTCGAGACAACGGATATGGTATTGAAGAGTTGCAAAAGCTAATAAACCTAAGAGGTTTATTAGCAATTACAAATCTAGAGAATGTGAACGATGGAAGAAGAGCCAAGGATGCAAAATTAGAAGACAAGCTTTACATCCAGAGATTGGATTTGGAATGGTGCAGGCCATGCGATATCAACATTCATCATGATGTGGATTATGATGATGTGCTGGAAAGTCTGGAACCTCACCCAAATTTGAAGGGGTTGCAAATTAGTAATTTTGGGGGCAGTAGATATCCTGGGTGGATGAGGGAGATTGAATCATTTCTCCCCAATTTGGTCGGAATAGCACTAGATGGATGCTGGAGATGGGAAAATCTTCCCATGCTTGGTCATCTACCATTGCTTAAGATTCTTGAATTACGCCGGATGATGTTTAGACGTATCCAGTTCCATGGAGAAAACAGTAGCAGTGATGATGGTGGTAGCAAGCAAGCAACAACAAAACGAATGTTCCCATCATTGAAAACCTTGTGGCTGACAGACATGCCTATGTTGGTGGAGTGGATGGAAGTTTCTACCTCTTCTTCTTCCTTTTTCCCTTGTCTCGAGAAGTTAATCATCAAGAAGTGCGCCAAGTTGAGAGTGACACCAGATTGTCTGCTTCCTTCTCTCAAGAGACTAAGGATTGAATCCAGCAATGCCATGTTGCTAAGTGAAGGATCATTTGCAGCCGAACTCACCTCTCTTACTTCCCTTCAAATAAGTAACTGTGAAAAGCTTGAGGTTCTGCCGGAATGGTTGCTAGAGAACAATAAAAATTCCCTCCGCCATTTGAGTATCATGAAATGTCCCAAGTTGGAGGCTATTCCCAGGGAAAATCTACAAGTCCTCACATCTCTGAAGACATTGAGGATAACTGATTGCCTGTCTATGCCTAATATTTTATGCTTGGATGATCTTCAAATGTTGAGATTGGAGAAAGACAATGCATGTGAAGAAATTCGGCTGTCTAATGTTGATAGCTCACTGTCAGTGCTCTCCATCGCACTAGAACCAGAACCAGAACCAGAACCAGAGTCAGAGACAGAACCAGACCMAGAACCAGAACCAGAGTCAGAGACAGAACCAGACCGAGAACCAGAACCAGAGTCAGAGACAGAACCAGACCCAGAACTAGAACCAGAACTTGAATTTTATGCGGCATGCGAAGAATTTTGACATTCAGCTGTCAATAGGGCTTTCCTTGGGAGGTTGTCTGGATTTTCTCCTAGTGGTTGTAGTCAGGTTGTCTTTAGTCAGTTGCTTCCTGGTTTGGTTGGTCTTGTCAGGTTGCTGTTATGGTCACTTTGCCCCTCTGTTCTTGTCTCTATGTTGCTAATAAATTGATCTTTTCAAAAATGAAAAAAAAAATCAGAGACTCACAATGGAGGGTAAGGGGGGTGTTTAAAGCACAATATTTTACGTGAGATATGGGAATAGCGCTGTTTTCTTCCCTTAATTTCTCTTGTAACTCTATCAATAAATCTTATATTGTGATGCCTCTCCACAAAATAATGTGATATGTATCTAGTTACCTTCTACAAAAAAGCAGTATATATATATCCAGTTTCCTCGGTTTATGTTAGCCTAGTTATTGATTCTCCTTAGTTTAGTATCTTTGGGCTGTGTTTATTTGTGGTGCAAACCTCGATCTGATACATTTGTACTCAGTTCCAATTTGTAACTGCTTGAGTTTAGTTTTTACCCCATATAGAATTACAAAGTGGTACTTCTACACTCCTTTTGCACCACCTTTCTGTGTAAATTTTACTTCTGAAAGGTTCATATAAAATTGCATTGGTGAAAGAAGAGCTAGAGCAGGGCAAACAATTATATCTTGTTGATTTGAGAGGACTACCACTGTTTTCATTTTCAGTTAATCTAACAGCCGGAAACACCACTAAAGTTGGTTTTGACATCACCGGCAAAAGTTATATATCAGTGTAAATATATGCTTGCAAGTATACCTTTGAGGAGTTCCATTCCTAATTTTTTTTGGGGTTCTTTTTTCAGTCCATAGTGTGGATCCATGCCTACATACTTTGTTCTTCCTCTGATTAAGGTTTGTCATCAAGACCCTTCTTTCCCATTGATTAGTGTCAAGAAATTGTTCTTACTTTTTTCTTTAGAATTGATCTATTTCTAATTCACAGATGATGATTTAACTGGAAATAACGCATTTTTTCCAACAAATTAATGAGAAGGCCAGCTGTCTTCCTTTATTTGCAATCTTTTCTTTGAATTAAAATGAATTTTCTAAATGTACTCTTTGTTGTCCAATGTCCAATATTCGTTATTTTGATTGTTTCTGTGCGATGCTTCTTAGATATACATGGTAGAAAGGAAATTGATTAGTTATGTAGTTTTTGATTCTATGGTATTCTTAATGGAGCTGTGGCCTATCTCTGCTTCATTTTCTTTTCCCTTTTACATTATGAATCAAAAAGGATAAAGGGAAAGGAAAAATACTCTGGCCGATATGAGGAGAAACGGCTTGGTTGGGAGTGGAGATTAAAGAAGAATCAGAAGTTGCATTCCACAACTAAAGCTTCAGGTACAGATATATAGTTGCTGATGTTAACACTGATATGGCATTATTCGTAATTTGAAAACCCAGATCAGTTCGGGCAGATTTCCATAACCCAAATAACTGCCCCTTTTTAATTTTATTCCAAATTCCCACACCATGTCATCACATGCTAATATCATATTCTTTATTTTATTTTTATATTACAAAATAAAATTAGCAAGGATATGAAATTGAGACCGGATCTGCTCCTCACACAGGGCGTCTCACACGGATCTTACACACACATCCTACCATGTATTGGGAATATTTCCCGTATTTATAAGTTATTATTGATGGGAGATGTTTCTAATGCACAGTGGATGTGCCGCCATGTGTGAGGAGCAGATCCCGTTCTTATGAAGTTGACCCACTAAAACTCATCATCCCAATCCCAACATTCAGCACAAATCCAACAACCGCCCAGAGACCATAGCAACTGAACCAGTTGGCAACCTTCAAATTGTTGGATTATCTACAAATTTGAAAACAATTTACTGTGTAAAGGGAGAAAACTGAAAAGATGAGATATGAAATAGAAGAGGGTAAGACACCATTGTTTACAAGGTGTGTTTCATGCTAGAGAATAAAAACCTCAAGAGCTAAGAGTGGACAGGAAAGACAATTCAAGGAGACCTAGATTTGATCAATTCCATACGTAGCAAGTTCAGGTTTCATGGTTAGAAGATATCCGATGATATCAAGATTGCATAAGGTGATTTTTGGGGGAGATAAATAGTTATCAAAAGATATATATATATATATATATATAGATAGATAGATAGATAGATAGATAGATAGATAGATAGATAGATAGATAGATAGATAGAGTTTAATACAATGAATGCACTTTACAAAACATTTGTGTTCCTATCTTTTTAATTCTTTTTATTTAAATATGACAGCATATAGTTTGATCATTTAACCTAAAACATTGAACCATTGACGTACCACCTGAATAGGAAAATGATTTTGTTTCTAAGTTGATTTTAAATTTTGTATTTCATTTCTATCATTAATGGAAATATTTATTATACAATATACTTAGTTTGATATTAATGATGTGCGATTTGGAAGCTCTTAGCTGGAGGATGACCTGGACCTTAGTTGTGTAAAGAGCTGGACTAAGCTGCAAGACAGAGGATTAAAGCACTCGGGGCGGTTAACCCGGTGAGGTCACTCCAATGCTTAAGTTAGTACTGTGTCATGATTGCGAGCTAGAATATGCTAGAGAGCTTGGATGCAAGTAATCGCACGTACTTAGACCATGTAGGGGTTGATGCCTTTATATAGATGAGTTATTGTGGGTTTCTTGGAACAGTTCTGAGATCTGCAGCCTGAATGGACGAGATCCATTTCCGCTTTAGTCGGGGAGTAATGTATCAGTCAATGAATCTCATTATCGCTGCCCGATTCGGATGGGGAGAAGATAAGGCTTGCCATTATGCAGTATGATCCCATAATATATGGTCTGTTGGGAAGCTATTGGGATTTATTACGTGTCACTTTGGTTCCCGGGCCCCGAACTCGATTAGCCACCAAGGTGATCTTATGCCGAAGTGACTTTATGCCGAGCAACGCATACTGCTGACTAGGCTCCCCTTGCTGAGTTGTCATCCTACAGGTAGATCGTGTCCATGTGACTTTTATTTACTAGGTCATGCCAAATTACTCCTCATCAATTGCCCCCCACTCCTCGTGACAGGGGTCCTAACCCGGCGCGAGAAGTTCACGACGAGCTTAGGTGGATTTGACATAGAATCTAGGTGACGTGGAGGGGGAATCGTTGGTCAGACCTGTTCGACTGTTCGGCTCAACCAGGAAGTGACCCAGATCGCATACCCAGTATGCACGGACATCAAAACAAGCACTAAATTGATTTCAACCTCAGGAGGCATGCAACCGATTTTCCAAGGACTCGTCAGATCGTGTTGATCTTGACCGTTGATTCTTGGATATACTAGCTATAAATAGGGGCCAAAGGGCCCATTTTTCTCGCCACAAGTCCACAATTTTTGAGGTCACGCTTAAGTCTTCCAGTTCGGTATCAACATTTTCTGGGTCCGAGGTCGCCTCCTTTTCTTCAGTCTTCCTTTTGGTGAGTCCACCTTCATTTTCTTTTTCCTTTTGATTCCATTGTCCTTTCCTTTAATATGTCTAGCCTTGGCTTAGATAGTCTTCTAAACGGGAGCGGCGAGTTTAATGGGGCCGAGGTGGGTACCTCGGCTTAGACCGTGGATCCTTGTCCTACTGAGGTGGTCACTTCAAGACAGGATGTGGTCCTCAATCCGCCCGAGGTGGACTCACCTCGGCGGGAACGAGAAGCTTCTGGTAAATCGGCTTCCACCTCCCACCGAGGTCAGTTTCCAAACAACTTTGGTCCGTCGATAATGATGGCGAACAGGCTCCTAGCCTTAGTAGCCCGGTACAAATTCCCTAGCGACCTTGTGTATAGCATCCCCTTAGGCAACTTTCCTTTGGATCATGATCACAATGAGATCATGGTCTTCGAGGAGCAGCTTGTATCCGGTCTTTGTCTCCTACTTCACCCTCTTATAATCGAGATCATTAAATTCTTTAACATTACCATAGACTAGATACACCCGAACTCTACTCATAATATTGTAGGGACCATTTCTCTTTTCCATGATTACAACCGTCCCCTTGACCTCAACATCTTCTCTTTGATCCTCTCCATTAAGAAAAACTTGTCCTGCCTTCTACCCGAGCACAGGTGAACTTACTACTTGACTCCTCGTCCCGTATACAAACTGTTGCACAAGCTCCCTAATAAGGTCCTGACTTGGAAGAGGTGTTACTTTGTGGTCCGCAACACCGAGGGGTGGCCCTTCCCGACTCACTGGAGGGCTGCCATCCGAGGCCCTACCGTTAGACTGGACCTAAAGACAAGGGAGGAGGTCCGATCTTGGGTGGAGCTTGGCCTGAAGTTCGAAAACTTCGTGACCGAGGAGAAGCTCATGCATGCCAGCCTAAGTCCTCCTGGTAGGTCGCTATTTGCTATATTTTTTCTATTCGTTTTACCTCAGTATTGTATCTGACTTAGCTCATTTCTTATCGTGGCTGCCATGGACGACATCCCTACCGATGAGCTCTTCGGGAGCATGAAAAAGGGGAAGAAGAAGAGAGCCTCTAGAAAGGCTCACGTCGAGACTGAAGCACCCACAACTGAGGCTGCCGCTCCTGAGCCCAATCACCCACCTGTCGCCAAGCAGCCTCCCGTAATTGATCTGGTCGAGGAGGACTCAGGTATGGCCACCCCACCCCGCATACCCGAGGAGGTTATGTCTTTAGAGCCTGTTCCAATAGCTGCCACGTCTTCGGGCAGCGAAGCTCCAATTCGGAGCATTTTGACTCCGAAGTTCATCCTTCTCAAGAGCAAATATGCGGTGTTTATTGAGGAGGTCGCTTGTTGGGCCGACTTGCTAGTTGCTCAGCTCGAGGCCCAAGCGACCACACATTGTATGGTGGTATGTTCTTGAACTTATCTTTCAAATTGTCTTGTACTTAGATTTTTCATATACTAATACTCGTTTTCATCTCTTGGCAGGTGAACTCTTCCATCCACGCCTTGGCTTACCAGTCCGAGGTGAACCTAAAGTGGGCTCTCGAAGCCGAGGAGTCTTCCCGAAATGCCCATGTCGAACTAAACTTAGCTCGCAACAAAATCAACCAACTGAAGGAGCTCGAAGAGCGTGAAACAACATTGAAGAGGGAGATTGAGAACCTCGATGCCCACATGAAGGAACGAACCGAACTCCTACTTCAGGTGATGGAGGAGGCCAAGGTTAAGGTAGTTGAGGAGTACAAGTCCTCGGTGGAGCTTCGGGAAAGGTCGGTCAAGGCAGGGACAACGGGCTACCGCAAGGGGTTCAAGCTCAGCAGGTGGTTGACCCGGCATGAATTTCCCCACCTCGATCTTAGTGCCATCACCACGTCGAAGATCACCAAGGAGATAGCCATTAAAGCTGCCAAGGATCTAGACTCTGAAGTAGA